GTGAGCCGAAGAGCCCTCCTCCTGCACTGTGGCAGTTCTGTGACTCAGGGCATTACTGTCCAAGACTGTGATGGGACAAGTTGAGATCTCACTGTCGTGTCTGTACCCGTCGAACATCATTGTAAATCTGTCCTGCTACATCCTTCCCCCTGTTTGAAGGCCTAGAGAAGATACCTCTCTGGTTCACTAACTTCCTTCCATCCTCACCGGGTCTGACCAATATCGACGGACCTCTCCCCTCTCCTACAGCTACACACAGATTCGGTGAGAACCATGTACAGTTGTGGTCTCTTGAAAGAATAAAGAGTCATTGAGCTGTACAGCATGGAAACAGACCCTTTGGTCCAACTTGTCCGTGCCGACCAGATATCCTAAATTAATCTAGTTCCATTTGCCAACATTTGGCCCATATCCCTTTAAACCTTTCCTATTCATGTACCCATCCAGATGCCCTTTAAATGTTGTAATTGTACCAGCCTCCACCACTTCCTCTGGCAGCTCATTCCATACACGCACCACCCTCTGTGTGAAAAAGTTGCCCCTTAGGTCCCTTTTAAATCTTTCCCCTCTCAGTTTAATTTTGGACTCCCCTATCCTGGGGAAAAGACCTTGACTCTTCACCCTATCCATGCCCCTCATGATTTTATAAACCTCTATGGGGTCACTCCTCAGCCTCCGATGCTCCAGGGAAAATAGCCCCAGTCTATTCAGCCTCTCCCTATGGCTCAAACCCTCCGACCCCAGCAACAAAACAAATAGGAAAAAATATATGGGCTGAGGAGGAACTGGAAAAGCAGTCTTTGTTCACAAGATCTGTTGGGCCACGTCTTGCTCTTGATCTGAAGGTTTATCCTCAACGTTTTCCTGGATGCTTTCGCTGGTTTACAGGAGACACAGACTGGCTCCTTCACTTACGAAAGGAATCTGAATTAAACAATTCAAAGCTGCAGCTTGCAGCATCTTAAGGAAAGCTCAGATGGGTTTTCCTCAGGTTTTAAGTGGCTTACTGCAGAAAACTGATAGATTGTGTATTGTCGGATTGCTGTAGATGTGCTGGTTTCTCTTCTGGTTTGACCAAGTTTCTCTCTGTCTTGCTCACAGCCCAAGCTTTTTAGCTGTCAACCAAACAGCTGGTTGTTGGGAGGCAGAAAGTGGATTGCAGTGGTTCAAGAAGGCAACTCATCACCACCTTTTCAAGGGCAACTAGGGACAGGTACATAATTCTTTGAAGTTTGCATCACATATAGACAGTGATAAGGAAGGCATTTGCATGCTTGCCTTTGTTGCACAGTCCTTTCAGTAGAGGAGTTGGGAAGTCATGTCGAGGGTATACAGGACATTAGTGAGGTCTCTTCTGGAGTACTATACCCAGTTCTGGTCGCCCTGCTAAAGGAAGGCTATTATTAAGCTAGAGAGAGTTCAGAAGAGATTTTCTGGGATGTTGCCAAGAGTGGATGGTTTGGGTTATAAGGAAAGGCTGGATAGGCTGGGACTTTTTCACTGGAGCGTAGGAGGTTGAGAGGTGACCTTATAGAAGTTTATAAAATCATGAGAGGTATAGATTGAGTTAATGGTAGTTGTCCTTTCCCTAGGATGGGGGATTTCAAGGTAAGAGAGAAATTTAAAACAAAAGACATGAGGGACAAATTTTTTATACAGAGTGTCACTTGCGTGTGGAATGAACTTCCTGAGGAAGTGGTGGATGTGGGTACAGTTACAGTGTTTAAAAGACATTTGGATAAGAACATGAACAGGAAAGGTTTGGAGGGATATGGGCCAGGAGCAGGAAGGTGGGACTAGTTTAGTTTGGGATTATGTTTGGTATGGACTGGTTGGACTGAAGAGTCTGTTTCCATGCTGTTTGACTCTATGACTGGTCCGTAGCCCATGGATCAGGCAGCTTCATTTGTAGACAATCCCTGGCCTTCAGTTCATCTGCACGTTGCTGGAGCCCACAGCTACACAAGCAGGGTTCTCAATCAGATTTCCTCACTTTCAGAACATGCCGCCATCCTTGTAAATCCCTGGTATACAAAACAGTTCTTTCTTTTATTGTTCTACATTGCTAGAGGGATGGAGTTTAAAAACAGGGAGGTTATGCTGTAGCTGTACAGGGTGCTGGTGAGGCCACACCTGGAGTAGTGTGTACAGTTTTGGTCTCCTTACTTGAGAAAGGATGTATGGGTCCTGGAGGGGTAGCAGACGACATTCACCAGGTTGATTCCGGAGGTGAAAGGGTTGGCTTAGGAGGAGAGATTGAGTAGACTGGGACTATAGTCATTGGAATTTAGAAGAATGGTGGGGTGGGGTTGCGATCCTTTAGAAACATATAAAATTATGAAGGGAATTGATAAGATAGAAGCAGGGAGATTGTTTCCACTGGTGGGTGAAACTAGAACCAGGGGGCATAGCCTCAAAATAAGGGGGAGCAGATTTAAGACTGAGTTGGGGAGGAACTCCTTCACACAAAGGGATGTGAATCTGTGGAATTCCCTGCGCAGTGAAGCAGTTGAGGCTATGCTGTTGAATGTTTTTAAGACAAAGGTAGATAGATTTTTGAACAGTAAAGGAATTAAAAGGGTTATGCTGAGCAGGCGGTTAAGTGGAGCTGAGTCCATGGAAAGATTGGCCATGATCTTATTGAATGGCAGAGCAGTCTTGATGGCCTACTCCTGCTCCTATTTCTTATGTTCTCGTTTCAGTCCAGAGTTTTACATAATGCAAAAATAAAAATGACACAGATTATATAATTTGCCAGGACATTGGTCCCAACATTAAGACTCAAATGAAGACTGTCCCAATGAGACAGCTCTCTCTCCAGTACTGGAGTCAGTGTCATCTGCACATTTACTAATCAGACCAATGTGTTCATCCATTATACATTACAAACAACAGAAGGTCCCAGCACTGATCCTTGCAGAACACTACTGGTTACAGAGCTCCAGTCAGAAAAACAGTCCTCCACAACTACCCTCTGTCTTCCATGAGAAGAGCCAATTTTGTATCCAACTTGGCAACTCACCGTGCGATTTGATCTTCAGGTCCACGCTACCATGACGAACCATGCACTGATCCTCCTGCTCAGCGTAACCCTTTTAATTCCTTTACTGTTCAAAAATCTATCTATCTTTGTCTTAAAAACATTCAACAGCATAGCTTCAACTGCTTCACTGGGCAGGGAATTCCACAGATTCACATCCCTTTGGGTGAAGGAGTTCCTCCCCACTCAGTCCTAAATCTGCTCCCCCTTATTTTGAGGCTATGCCCCCTGGTTCTAGTTTCACCCACCAGTGGAAACAACCTCCCTGCTTCTCTTATCAATTCCTTTCATAATTTTATATGTTTCTAAAGGATCGCGAAACCCTCCCCCCATTCTTCTAAATTCCAATGACTGTAGATAAGGGAATAGATAAGATAGAAGTAGAGAGGATGTTTCCACTGGCAGGTGAAGCTAGGACAAGAGGGCATAGCCTCAAGATTAGAGGGAGCAGATTTAGGACTGAACTGAGAAGGAATTTCTTCACCCAGAGGGTTGGTAATCTATGGAATTCCTTGCCCAGTGAAGTAGTTGACGCTACTTCAGTAAATGTTTTTTAAAAAAAGGTAGTTTTTTTTGAACAATAAAGGTATTAAGGGATACGGTGAGAACGCGGGTAAGTGGATCTGAGTCCACGAAAGGATCAGCCATGATCTTATCGAATGGCGGAGCAGGCTCGAAGGGCCAGACGGCCTACTCCTGCTCCTAGTTCTTACGTTCTTATAGTCCCAGTCTACTCAATCTCTCTTCCTAAGCCAACCCTCTCAACTGATCCTCCAGCTGCAATCTAACTAAAGTTCTGTACAGCTCCAACATAACCTCTGTGTTCTTTTCATCCACATCACAACTGATAAAGGCAAGTGTCCCGTATACTTTCTGAGCCACCCTATTAACCTCCCCTGCTGCCTTCTGGGATCTGTGGACAAGCTTCCCATGATCCCTCTGAGCTTCCTAGTGTCCTGCCATTTCAATGAGTACTCCCCCATGGAGTAAGGCCTTCCATGAAGCAAACCCTATGAGCTTTTCTTTTCCACAATTGGAAGGCGGTTGTCATGGTCACCGTGACAGAGATGGGATTTTAAACCCCCCCCCCACCAGATTTAAACTGGTGTGTCGAGTTGCTGTGCGGGTTACCACACAATCACTGCAGCACCACCCGTCCCCGAATTTCCGTACCGCAGCCGAGATTTCCCATGCTCTCTGCTCACATAAAGAGCTGAATGTCTGGGGGCAGCTTGACCCCACTGACTGTGTGTAGCTCCCTAAAGTTGACTTGAATCAAGGCTGCACCAACCAATCTGTATTCTTGTAGACCAGCATTGGCCGTTAGGAGCAAAAACATGACCCGTCCTTTCTTCAGTTGCATCCGACAGCCAAGCCGTTCACCCAGGAAGGTTTCTGAGCTCCAGGATACGGTTCAGCTGGAATATTCAGGGAGAACGTGCAAATTCCCAAGGCGGGAATTGAACCCTGGTCGCTGGCACTGCGACGCAACAGTGGTGTTGGGAAAAGATAAACTGATGCATGCCTAGTTTCGACTGTGCATTTACATTGTACCGTAAGACAGGTAAGATCAGAACGATTGTAATTTTCGGCAGGACTGGGGAAAACCCTATGTTTGGTTTTAAATTTACCCGTCCTTTCGAAAGAGATGACTTAGAGCTCCTCATGGTGACAACTCAGTTATATTGCCTGAAACAGCTGTTTCTCAGAAGCACAACACGCATTCATTACTGGGAGTAGTAGCAGTCAGAGGTGACTGTGAAAAGAACGAAAATTTATTGGTCAATAAAATGCATGTCATCCCAGGGTCCAAGTAACCAAGTTAAGAGACAAAACAGAAGTTGCTGGAAAAGCTCAGCAGGTCTGGTGGCATCTGTGAAGAGAAAATCAGAGTTAATGTTTCAGATCCGGTGACCCTTCCTCTGAAGTTCTGAAAAAGTGGTGGAGGCTGGTACAATTACAACATTTAAAAGGCATCAGGATGGGTTCATGAATGGGAAGGGTTTAGAGGGATGTGGGTCAAATGCTGGGAAATGGGACTAGGTTAATTAAGGATATCTGATTGGCATGGATGAGTTGGATGAAGGGATCTGTTCCTGTGCTGTGCAACTCCGTGATTGTAACACCACTTGGAAAAATAAAATTCCAGCTACTGGAAATCTGAAACAAAACAAGACTCAAGTGTTTAACGTTACCACAACCATTTCTTTTATTGGTGGGACCGGTGCGCTGTATAACCATAGAACATGGTCCTCTTTTATGGTTTGAACTCACTCCCAGTCAGGAAGCCCCAGTGCTAGAGTCCCCTATTCTCCTCAGTGTGACCTGGTTTCTGAGGCACTGCCAAATTATTTCACATCAGGGTTTTAGATCTCTCTCTTCATCCACACGCGGAAACATTCTCTCTCGCTTCACCCACACACAGAGAAAGAGAAAGAATGTCTACATCTTTTCACTCACATACACACTCTCGCTCTCTCTCTGCCCACACTGAGCGCTTACAGTCACATTGTCCCCCATCTAGACTCAATGTCACATGTTATGTCCACACTGCCTTGACACTCGTCCTTCAGCCACTCTGCATGATTAATCCCTGTGGTGGGGTATCAGCAGGTTTCAGAAATGATGTCAGTGTGAGAGTGAGGGAAGAGCAGGATGGTGCGCCCGAGGGGAGAGGGAGGGAGGGAAGGGGCACGAGGGTGCAGGCAAGGGTGTGTGTGTGAGTGTGAGAGAGAGAGCGCGGGCAGGAGACCGCACAAATGACAGAAAGAATGAGAGAGTGAATGGGATACCACAAGAGAATGAGAGAGAGATAGAGGGAGAGAATGAGAGAGGTCGGGTTCGGTTGGTGGGTCATGGAGGGAGTCAGTCCAAGCATAGCCCTTTCAAGTTTGGTCATCTCACTGTGTGACCTGTCTCCCCGCGGGCCCTCTCTCTGCTGCGGGATCCGCACAGCAGTGTGCCCAGGTTGACAGTGGCAGCCTCCAGCAATCAGATGCCCGGATTAGGGGGTTCAGAGGAAGCCTCACCCAGCAGCTGCTGTACCCGAGCATGGATGAGTTGGCAGACACTGCTGTAAGCGTGGCGCGTCAAGTGCAAGTAGTCATACATGTCATTGTGGCTGATGGTGCCATCAGAGTTCACGAAGCCTGGGTCCACGTCCAGGAAGGAAGCGTTGCTGATGTTCTCCACCATGCCTTTCACCAGCTCGTTCACCAGAGCATTCTTCACCCGCAGTGGATTCGGGTCCTTCCCCCGGGGTAACAGACCCTGGAACAGGCAAAGGCAGGCATCAGGAGACGTGGCTGATAGCAGAGACCGGAGCAGCGCCCAGGACAGGGGATGGGTATGTAGTCTAAGACAGGTACCGAGGGCAGGAACATTGACGCCACACAGCCACCAGCTTCGCCCGTGCCCATGCTGCTTCCCCCCCACCGCCTCCTCGCCCTCACCAGAATGACGATCTTGGCCCGAGGCTGCCGCTGAATCACGAGGTGAACGATGGCCTCAATGCCCCCTGCCACCTGCTCCGCCGTGTGGCCGTGATTGTTGGTGCCCACCCACAGCACGATGACCTGCAAAGACAGTCACCCAGTAGTCAGGGTGGCACACATGCACGCGCGGACACAGAACGGTTAGCAAGTTTGCAGATGACAACCAAAATGGGAGGTCAGTGGACAGATAAGATATCAGGCGGGCCAATGGGCCAAGGAGTGGCAGATGGAGTTTAATTTACACAAATCTGAAGGGCTGCATTTTGGAAAAGACAAATCAGGGCAGGTCTTACATACTTAATGGTAAGATCCTGATGAGTATTACTGAACAAAGAGACCTTGGGGGTGCAAGTTCATAGTTCCTTGAAAGTGGAGTCGCAGGTAGACAGGGCGGTGAAGCAGGCGTTTGGTACACTTACCTTTATTGGTCAGTGCGTTGAGTATAGGAGTTGGGAGGGTCATGTTGCAGCTGTACAGGACATTGGTTAGGGCCACTTTTTGAACACTGTGTGCAACTCTTGTTTCCATGCTATAGGAAAGATGTTGTTAAACATCAAAGAGTTCAGAAAAGATTTACAAGAATGTTGCTGGGATTGGAGGGTCTGGTGAGCTAAAGGGAGAAGCCGAATAAACTGGGGCTATTTTCACTGGTGCATCGAAGCTGCCACCTTGTAGAGGTTTATAAAATCATGAGGCGCATGGGTAGTGTAAATAAACAGGATTATTTTTCAACAATTCCTGCGTGCTACACTGGAGTAAGGCATCATTACTGTGAGGTTATTACTCCACAGACAGAGAGAGAGATACATCAGGAGGATTGTTGGAGCAATGTAACATGAATGTTCACTGTTCAGAACCATTAACCTGCGAAACATACACAGGCAAGGCCAGGACGGAGGAAGTGCTGTCTTTAGCACAATAAGTTAAAACATCAAACTGTCTCTTCTCTCCTTTGATTCAGTGTCTTCTGGACTAGACCAGACCCCCTCAAGATATTTTAAGAAGGTAGCCTAGACCCTGACTTTTTATTACTTTAAAAGGTAGATGTGAAGTGCGTGTTTCAGATACAATGCGATTGGTCAAACCACTTGATGCTAAGCAGAACACAATTTATTTAAACACTGTAGTTAAAATACAACAAAAGAAAGAGGAATTTAGAATAACTTAGCTCTACTGAAAAACTTAACCAAATAATAGATACAGAAACTATTACTAATTAACTGTCCCAATATAGTAACATCCCATAAACACATTCCTTGGCAAAAAGGCAAATTCAGAGAAACAGATTTCTCTCACAGGTATCCCAACAGCAGAGAGAAACCCCAGCTTCTAGCTGTAACCGAGAGAGGGAAAATATAGTTTCTACTTCTTCAAAGCTCCAGCAAATTCCGCTCTGTTGGGACTCCAACTGCTTAAAGGTCAACCGAAAAACTAAAAACAAAATTGAAATCCTAATTCTGAGAGAGCTGGCCACACCCAGCCAGGCTGCTTCTATTGTTCTAAGTAAAAAAGAAAAACCCAAGGCCTCACAAGCTGTTTATGTTAGCTGGCTTTCCAAGTAGACAGTTCAGACAGAGGTGTCTGAAAACCTTTCTTTAAAACAAGACAGGACAAAATAACTTCTTAAAGCCACAGCACCATCACAAGAGTGTGTGTGTTGAGGAAGCTGCAGCAAGATGACTAGAAGGGGACGGGCAAGAGGAGGGGTATTGTGTGGGCAGGCAGCTTGCTGGTCCTCGTGGGAAATTTAGTGCCCAATTCAACATCAATAAAAGAGGTGAACTGATCACTCCCACTTAATGGTCTGAGGGACAGTGTTACTTTGTCCCTTGAATTATTGATACTCTCTATCCCTGCCATTCTGTCCCCTTCACTCTGACAATCTCTATCAATCTTACCTTGGGTTTGATATTCTCCAGTTCCCCATGTTGAAGTCTCCACAGAACGTTCTGGGTCGCGTCACCACCAATTCCAAAATTCAGGGCATGGAGCGGGGAAAATAACTGACGCCAGATCTGAGCAGAGACAGAAGGTCAAAAAAGGCAGTGAGACTGAGAGTGAGAGACAGAGATAGACAGGGGGTGGCCGTGAGACGGGGGTGCGAGAGGGAGAGATAGACACGGGAGTGGGAGAAACATGGAGAGAGACAGAGCATCACAGAGAGAGACAGAGTAGGTGTGAGTGTGCAAGGAGACATTGAGGAAGGAAGGTGTTTGGAGACTGTGTGATTGGAGACCGGTGTGAAGAGATTTACTAGCTGGTATGGAACAGTTTAGCTATGAATAGAGGCTGAATAAGATCGGGTTATCATCTTTGGAGCAGAGAAGGTTGAAGGGGATCTGATAAACAGGCAGAAGATAAGAAGGGGCGAGAATAGGGTGAATAGAAGACAGCTCTTCTCTTAGTCAAATAGTCCATAATAAGGAGGCATAATATTATAAGTGAGAGGAAGGTGGTTTAGAGGGCATTAGAGGAAATAGGTTTCTCACCCAGAGGTGATGGGACTGCAATTCACTGACTGGGAAGGTTGCTGAGGTGGGAACCTCACAATATTTAAGAAGTACTTGGATGACAACATTCAAGACTGTGGGCCTAGTATGGGAAGGTGGGACTTGTGTGGATTTAGAGTAGTTTAGACGGTGTTATTCAGACACTGTAGTTCAATCAGCCAAAGGGCATCTCCAGTCTTGTGTGATTCCGTGACTCTATTAGGAAGAGAGCAGGAATGAGTCTGGGCAATGGAGAGGGACATGTAGACAGAGTGAGCGAGAGGGAGAGGCATGGCGTGGACATGGGAAGAGAGCAGGAGAGTGACTGCGGGGGGGGGGGGGGGGGGGACGTGCAATGAAAGAGACACAGAGAGGGACACGAGGAGGGAGTGAGACAGAGAAAGAGAGAGAGGAGTGAGAGAGCAAGTGAAAGAAAGACATGGAGGTGATGATAGAGACCGAGAAAGCATGACGGGGGAAAGCGTGAAAGTGATGGA